TGAGGCGCTCAACATCAGTCTGCTCATCTCTTATAAGAAGGGATTCCTTCTGTTCGCTGGAGAGGACCATGATGGGTCATGTGGTGTTACAAAGACCTCCACGGTCATCAATCAAATAAGATTCATTCTTAACATGCTTAAGCTTCCAACCCTATTGCATAATCCATTCTCTCCCGTGCTCTGAGAATATGAGTAGCATGAACACAATCTCTGTCCTAAAGAAACCAGCCCATGTGGACATCATCTCTCCCTCCACCTCTGTGGAAGATGCTGCAGATCCCTCAGCGGAAGCACTGGCAAGGTTGTCTCCTGCACCTTCCACCATCTCAGATACTAACATCTTGTTTGATGGAGCCAGATTAGAGGTACAAACACATTCTATTGAGAACATCACTGGCATATCTCTGCAGTGGGCCAAGGAAGAAATACCCCAGGTAGCCAGCACTCAGAGGACTGCTGAACAGGCAACACCTCAGATCCAGGTAGCAGAGCACCCCATGGTGTTGATCATTGTCAAAATGTACAAAACAACACAGGCAGTAGGCAGGTTTGTCAGAGGTCTCAATAAACTAGATCAAGGGTGAGAGGATTTCAGCAATGCCAATTTTACCATGTTGGCTCTGGCATGTGCGCATCTGGTAGTCTCCAAGAAGATGGGTGCTCTCCATTTTATACTACAGTAGACATTTTATCACTGCAAATGAGTGTATGTCTACAAAAATGAAAGGCTATTACAATGGTGATGTTTCATTCATGTGACCTCAGTAAATTTCTTCTATCTCTGCCTCCCACTACATCGAAGCATTGTCTCGATTTTTCTACCCGGAAGTGGATTACAATGGATGCTTGCTCTCCAGTTGGCCTTGTTTGTTTGAAAGATCTGGGCAGTCATCCCTAGTGCCTTTGGATTCAGAGGGTCCAGGCCTGGTGAGAGTTTCCTGCTCAAATGCAAGCTTAATCTCCTCAACTTGAACTGCTGAAGGCTTTGAGATGATAATCAGGAACAAAAAGGGAGGGCCAAGCACCTTTGGAATGTCCTGATGATGATGATTCTGGAGGTCCTCTGTGGGTACCTGCTGGCAGCATGACATCTCTCCAAGAGGAAAGGGCATCTGGTGTAAGATCAGAGTCCTGCGTCTCCCACTCAGCTTGCTATTGATGTTGAACACCCATGGTTACAGCAATAAAGTGCAGATTCTTGCTCATATGTGACTGATAGAATGCTCTGGACCAGATTTTCCATGTCCTGCCACCAACCTGCCCATTGAGAAAGCCTATAACATATGTGTCATAGTCAGCATGCTACTTTAATCTTGGTGGACTCCTGCAGCCTTAGATCCAATGTATTAACTGCCTCTGACAAACCTGCTAGTGCTTTTGTGCCTGTTTGTACATTCTGGCAAAGTTGTTAATGGCCGAGAATATAGAATTATCTTCTGCCTAGTGTTCAGCAGATCTTTGGCAGTCCCTGAAACATCAGAAACATCCATTTGTGTTTACTCTGTCTATTCCTGTTATAGTTTTATTGGAAGCATCCCCAATGAGTGAATAGAAAATGTAGGCGGCAGGAAGGACTTTTTTTTTTAAAGGAGGATTGAAGTGGGTGAGAGCTGTTGAGTAGGTAGGTTGCTTGCAATAGTGAGAATTAAAGCCATGAGCCATGGCAAGATGTGTGTATAATGTTGAGTTAGAGTCAGTGGTGGCCCTGTGAGTATGCAGTAAAGAAAGTAGGATGGTGTTTACACTTGTACTGTACAGAAGATGAATGATTTCCTTTCTGCACAGCTGGATGTTCTACTTCACCTGGGATACAGCACTGACCTGGACTGTAAATTATGTCCAGAATAGCTCAGTTTCTTGTGATGGTGAGCTGGACAGAGGATTACCCTAGTCTCTACCAAGACTTTCTAAGTTCCTGTTCACAAAGCAGGAAGTGAGCATTCCTTCCCTCTGAGGCATTTCCTAAATATAGAGACTTGTTCAACAGTGAGAAAGGTCCTTCTTGGCTTGCAGTGTCTGAAGTGGTGAGCAGGTGACCTTTAAATATGCTACAAGAGGTGTGTACTTTGGAAAGTCACAGCAATGTTAAGCACTTCCATTCTCCAGCTGAGCAATTCCCTAGGAAAGGTGGCCAAGAGCCTGCCGGCATAATTGATGCGGTGAATTGCAGAAGCTTGAAGGGGAAATGTTGCTCTGAGTCATAGTTGATCAGACACCATGAACCCCACTCATCAAGACACTTTAAATGAAAATCAGAAAATTTCACCTATTGTTTCTTTTTAAAGTCCAATAGTAATTAAAATCGGAAGGAACGAAACTTCACATTCGTAAATGGTCTGGAGTTACCTGCAGGCAAGACCAAATAAGGATGGCAGATTTATTTTCCTAAAGGACATTAGTGAACTGGGTGGTTTTTGCAACAACCTATGGTAGCTTCAGGCTCAACATACTGATATTAGTTTTCAATGACAGACCTTTAAAAAAGAAACCAATTACTGCATCTTTTTAAATTCCAGAATACTGGCATGGCTGGAGGGTTTGAGCTACAGGGAAAAGCTGAATAAACTGGGGCTATTTTCCCTGGAGAATGGGCGGCTGAGGGGTGACCTTATAGAACTGTATAAGGTCATCAGGGGCAATGGATAGGGTAAAAAGATAAGGTCTTTTCCCTGGGGTGGGGAGAGTCCAGATCTAGAGGGCATAGGCTTAAGTTGAGATGGGAAATATTTAAAAGGGACCTAAGGGGCAACTTTTTCACTCAGAGGGGGGTGCAAGTATGGAATGAGCTGCCAGAGGAAGTGGTGGAGGCTGGTACAATTACAACAGTTAAAAGGCATCTGAATGGGTATATGAACAGGAAGGGTTTAGAGAGATATGGGCCAAATGCTGAAAAATGGGGCTAGATTTATTTAGGATATCTGGTCAGCATGGACGAGTTGGACCAAAGGGTCTGGTTCCATGGTGTACATCTCTTGACTCTATGACTCCAGCAGCTGCCATTGTGGGATTTGAACCTATGACCCCAAAAGCATTAACCTATGTTAATGGACTACAAGTTCACTGGCATTACACAATGTCACCATTTCTCTCCAAGACCTATTATAACATCAAATATTATCTTAGGCTGCAACAGATAAGCCTCAACTATTTCTGGCAAGTTCAGTGAGTTTTATTAATTTATGTATTGTGGCATCTATGGCTGGGCTAGCATTTATTGACCATCCCTACTTGTTCCGGAGAAGATGGTGATGAGTTGCCTTTTTGAACTGCTGCATTTGGGTAAACTCACATTGTTCTAAGGGATAAGTTTGACCCAGCAACACTGAAGGAATGGAGAGATATTTCCAAGTCAGGATAGTGAGTGAGTATCCAGCACGAAGTATTGAAATGTCATACCATCATGTGCATTTCAATGTTGACTCTGTGGGTGAGGTTATCATGACAATGCTTCTGGACTCGATGTGCCGAAGGCTTTTTCTACACTATGAATCTGTGGAGGAACAGGGCATTGCTGACAGCAACTTTCTTATTTCTGAGCATGTGCAGTCACTAGGAGATGCTGCCTTACTGATACTTGAGCACAGTTGGCTTTGCTTATTTTTAATGACAAATCTAGGCCATAATATTATCCATTTGGAAAGGCCTAAAACTTCTAATATTCATTCCCTTTTGGTTAATTCTTAAAGACTTTGCTAAATCTCAGTCATATAGTTGTTACAAAATCCATTTTCAGTCTATATCCAATTATACCAGAGAACCCAGCATTCTCTGATAATGTAACATTCAGAGCACATTTTATTTCTACTGTTGTTAGGTGGCCATATTCAAATCCTCTCAGTGATAGGGGTGGGGTCTATTGCAAGCTTTGCAATAAGTCTGTCAGAAAAGTTCTGGCTTCACTGAAGAATAGTTGAAATAATTATAAACAGGGATTAATAATCAGTAAGTACGAGAAGGAGTAATGGCGGAATCCAAATGAGCAACATGGATTCTGTGTAAGGAACTGTATTTAATGCCAAGAGCAGTTAGATATCTCTGCGTTGTTAGATTTCAGGCCTGGTTTTAGGAGTTATTAAGCAGCTCAGCGTGGCAGTCAGGGCTTTGGAAAAATCCTGTAAGTTATGATGGCTCACAAGATGCCAAATGCCACTAATACATCAGTACAACTGACAGTGGGTATTAAAACAAAAACAATATTTGCTTCATATAACTAACCAAGACTAAAGACTGCAGACATAGGAGCAGAAGTATGCCATTCTGCCCAACGAGTTTGCTCTGCCAATGAAATCATGGCTGATCTGATAATCATCAACTCAAATTTCCTCAGGGAAAACTCAGGGACAGATGAAGTGGGTGAAAAGCTGGGGTTGTGCCTGTGAATAAGTAATGGAGTGTGGCTTTTGGAGTCCAGGGAAATGTGGATTCAAGACAGGATGAAGAACAATGACAACAGAACCAATTGGTCGGGTAGTCCAAAGGGATTTTAAGGCTGTATTGGCAAAAGTGAAGAATTGTAATCCTTTGTGAAGTTAAATGAGATTGGATAACACACTGTGCCATTAACATTTGGATGGAATTGCTGAAAAATCACTGTGTGGTGTGGGATCTGACTTGACACATTTGCTGTTTGATGTGTGCTGTGAGGTATCGAATCACATTACCTTATCCATGTTTAGCATGCTAAATATCGGTGTTATAAATAAGTTTTAAATGTATTGTAGATTGTATTACTGTTCTAACTTGTAGAGTGCAGTCTTATTGTTTGTTCTAAACTGTGGAATCTGTTGGATTTATTCTCTCAGTAAGTTCACTGAATCTCTGACTTCGTCAATTTTAAAAACCAAATGTTACTGGTTCCTAACAGACTATAAAAATAATTTGGTGATCTCATCCAAGACTATAACAAAGTTTCCAGTCTGATCTGGAATCATAGCAATGGCAAATAATTTTCATGCTCACTTTGGGTATCATGCAGTAATAACATTTGGATTATTACTTGCCAGGGCCAGAGCTGGTGATGAAAAAGCTCCGTTGATCCTCATTTCTTTGCTTTACTGGGTCTGTGATCTTATTTACATCAGTTATGTAATATTCACCATCTTCTTCTTGTATCTTCTCATCATCTTCATCAGCCTCAGATGTATAAGTTCCATCAAATATCTCAGTTGCTGCATTAGTTGTTGGAGGCCCATCAGCAGTTCTACTTTCATCTAGATCCAAAGATAAGTCAACTATTAAACAAATCATTTTGCATCTATGCATGAAGACTAAATGATGAAAACTGTGGTGGGATAGAATAACTTTTGAGAATGAAGCATTGCAAAGTTTCCCTAGCTTGTAAATTATGAGCCATTTTTACTTTTATATCGTTTGTCACTCACAAAGCAGAAAAAAACACCCTCAAAATTGTAGCTGAAACACAGCTGAAAAATACCCAAAGGTTGGATTTATCCATAATCAGGCTGAATTATAAACAACGGAAAACATGACAAGCAAAAGAAGATACATACATTTCACTTCACACTCTTTCCCATTTCCTTCCATTTCAGGTGGACACAAACCACATCTATAGGAGCCAAAAGTATTAAAGCAAGATACTGTTGGAATGCATGGATTAGCTTCACATTCATTAATATCCACTCGACAATCAGCACCTGAGGGAAGAAGAAACTAACTTTCACATTGCTAATGGTATTCTAACTCCTGAAATATAGCATATGGAATATTTAAATATCAGCAATGACAATATACCACAAGATACTGCACTTGTTCCTCAACATCTTTTCTCTGCAGAAGGTATCCTGATTCAGCTCATGGATGCTGGGAACCTTTCAGGTTTTCGCTCCAGTATGAGTTTAACACTGATATTTCATTGTGTATTATACCAGGCGTGGCATGGCTGTTGAACTGGATCCTATACTCAAAGTTCAAGTACACTTTGAACTGGGAGTACTGCATAATAAGACATAGTTACAGAGACAATCTTCACCTTTCTGCCCAAAAGTTTCCTCTCTTAGACGTTGCAACAAATTTTTTTAACATGTGCAGAAAATAAATCAGCCATCCAAAATCAAGAAATTAGTTTCAATCAAAGATGCCACAAAGACATCAAGTTGCAGGAAAGGAAATATCATATTATAATTATAATTAAGGAATTTTGTTTGATAATGCTCCAATGAAGCATCTTGGGATGCTTTGTTAAATTGAAGGCCCTGTATAACTGCACATTTTTGACATAGAAAACTGTCCATTCATTAAGTAACCATATAATTGCTCTTTTAATATTCTTCAGTTACCTGACAGTATGTCACTGACCTGGTTACTTTTAAGGTTGGTTGCTGGAAAAATGTAGATAAGACTATCAGATTTTCTTTATTTGATGCTCATAGGACTTTTAAAGGTTATCAATGGATGAAGTAAATGATCACACAAACTTATTATTAGTTTTCAAATGGATTGATTGACTAAGGAACAACTAAAGCTATCTAAAATTAATAACTGGTGCACTGAGAAGGTGAACCAATCTCACTGCTCCCTCAACACTAAATAGCTACTTACCCAAAATTTTATTGAACTTGGAATTTCTATTGTTTCACAGTTAATTGAAATTTGTTACATGAAATGCAGTATACAAATTGAAAATAGGAAAGACAATTGTAGAATAAATACCCAACATTGCAACAGTTTACATAAATTACTTACCTTGAAAGCCTTCTTGACATTTACATGAATAACTATTTATTTCATCCACACAGCTACCAAAGCCACATGGATTGGATTTGCAGTCATCAATATTCACTTCGCAGTAACTTCCTTCAAAACCAAGAGCACACATACAAAGATACTCTCCACTTCCTGGAGGAAAATTTATGTTTGTAACACAGGAACCCCCATTCAAGCAGTTGCATGGCTTTACAGTGACCTATTCAAAAAAATGGATATAGTATTATATTTCACATGCTGATAAAAGATAGAAGCATTCATGTGGCAGTGTGTGTGGAAGGTAAGGGCACATAGTTCTCAAGTTAACTGGGTTAGAGGGTAGGATATAGTTGAACTAGGGTATGTAGATAACATTATAAAATGCCTTTGTTCACATTTTAGTGGAAACCGTCCACATTAAATTTGTAATTATTCTCTCCTCTATGTCATGGCACTTGAACATTTTTATAGTTTGTTAAAATTTTAACTAAATAGGAATTTATAGTTTAGAAAGTTGACTGCAAGAGCGCACAAATGTAAATATTTCAATATACTTTCATCAATTTCCTACTGCTTTTCAAAAGCAGTGATTAAGTGAAAGACTAGTAAGACAGAAGGAAGTATTTTGATTTTTTTCTTGAAATTGATCTTGCTTGTGATAGTTTTGAGGTGATTAAACATACTGACTAGTAGTGGTTAACAAAAGCGGAGCTTTTTACGCTTATTTTAACCTTAACCTTCTGCTTATTTGAAGAACATTTAAATTCCAAGATTATTCTACTAGACAAACTGCCAGCTGTGCAAATGTAAAGAGAAAATTCATTTGTCATGCAAGATCAAAATTTCTTTGTTTTCATTACCAAATAACTGTTATTAAAAGAGAACTAGCTGGAGACTGGAATACTGAAGATGTCACCTGTCATCAGTACAGATTTTCAACTTCTGAATATTCAGATACTGAGAGTGGGTGGAAAGTACTTTTCCTAAAATAGTTAAGAATTCAAATCACATTGATGTGGAAATAAATCTGGCAAAAAGAGAGTTTGGATTTCATCTCAAATTAGGACCAGGTTTGGACTTGGAACATATTCCAGAAACATTAAGACCACTTCCTTCCTTTGTTTCAATAGCAACTTGTTGGTAGGTCATTGTGGTTTGTGTTTCTGTGGAAATTAAGACCATCCTGTCACTTCCTTCATGACCTCTGCAACAACCTTTCAGCCTTAATAAATTACTCTTATTTAAGTAATTTCTTTTTAAATGGAGCCGGATTGTGTCAGCAATACATTTTTCAATGTATCTTCAAGATATACGTGACAATAAATAAATCATCATCATAAATCATCAACCTGCAGGGTTATAACATTTTCAGAACACACTTTATATTAAAGATTGACAAAATCTTTGTAAGGCAATTGTTATTGACTAGAATCTGATAATTTCTGTAAAATGAGAGTGCCATCATTAAATATGATTACATTAGTAATACCTAGCAAGCTAGTTTTAAATCTTTTGTGTTTCACGAATATTTTATTGCCAGCAATCAAATATTCTTAAAATCAAGCTTTTAAAATGCTGAGGCATACTAGCTTCAAATGTGATACACAATATGGTAGAAATAAGCTGCTTGTGGGTTGAAATTGGGCTGCCTGAGAAATACATGAGCATTTAGGTGGCATGATATTCCATACTAAAAAGAGAAGCTATTCTGTAGAAGAACAAATGAGTTGGTACCTTTGTTAAGAAAACAAAGACATTTCATATGAACATGCTGCAAATGATCCGTAACAGAAATGAGTTTCATCTGGCAATAAACTGGTAGGGCAATAAGGCTGTAAGGCAATAATGCACCCAGTGGAAACAGCATATGTTATTTAATATCAGAAAAATATCTCTTCTAAATTAGAGTAAGCAGAATTTGTGAAACCTTTATTTTTCTTTATTTTTTTTTCAAGTGCAAATGAAAAATATTTCTTTTTAATCTTGTTTCCATTCTTTGATATCCTTTAACCACCTGACAAATTGTAGTCGGAAAGACAAGCAACTTAACTCTGCCAAATTTTTCCATTCTCAGAAGATGTTCAGGATTCCACTGATTTTTGCTAAGCTCAGCACCACACAATATTCATGTGGTTAAAATAAATAATGCTGAAGTGTGGGAATTGGTAACGATAGAACTCGGATATAAATTACTACTTTTACTATCATAAATCCCGATACTACTCCTCCTGCTTTAACAGCTTGGACACCTTTTTCAGTTTAACTTCTCTGTCAAATGTTAAAATTAGATTACTTGCATCTAAAATATACATTACATAGATATATATTAGTGTAAGTATTGACCAAATTCAAGTCCCACATTTAAAATATAGATAGTGTTGCAATTATTTTACTCAAGGAACAAAAATAGTTTCTGTCAAAATATTGATTAAAATACTGATTGCTGCTGAAAAGTTTCACATGCAGTGAGAGATCTTTCTTCAGCAAATGACTTTAATACTTCAAAGTCAACATATGGTATTGTATTACATAATGGCAATGTTTACTTTTGCCTCCAAAAGTGAACTCGAGTGATGTTTTCTCATGTTATATTTGACCCTGGAGCTGGTAGAGTGCCAGAATTTGCTAAATATCCCATTCCTCATCACTGATATTCCTTATTTTGACAGAAATTCAGTCCTCTTTAGAAAAGTTCACAATTGGAAGTGTTCATTTCTGCCTCATGTAAACAATACTGCAGAAACAGTTACACTTGTTCTATGTAATGTCCATTACCTCTACTGACACTTTGGTCTCAGCATTACAGTCATCTGTCACAGAAAAAGAGAACGTCTGTGGCTCCTGTAAAGAAACCTTCCATATAAGAAGTCCTGCAGGAGAAAGGTTAGCACCCTTGGGTCCAGCATTAATGTTAAAAACAACAGCGGATCCTTCTGGGTCAGAAGCCAAGAACTGGTACACAAAATTTTCCCCAGTAAAAGTCTGAAGTTTTTCTTGCGAATGTTGAAATATTGGAGGTTGGTTATCTGAAAAATAATTATCATGTTACTTCATATAAAAACAAGAACAGTCAATAATTGGTACAGAATAGATTTGAACTTTCAAATGATAGAGTGGACTGAACAGTTTCCGGATCATGGCATTATGAGGCTGATCTATTTGCAGGGCCTGGTCACATTCCCTCTTCCCAAACTATGTGTCTTGAACAGTTATCTACAGAAGCTAGTTGACTCTCAGTTGACACAATATTGATCAAGGTTTGGTGTGAGACCCAGCAGAAAGAGATAACATAGGGAAGAGTGGAGTAAGATAATCTTAGTCGAGTGGAATTAGTGATTTGAATCATATTTATAGGTATGCACTTTTTCCTCAGAGCAGAGTAAGTGCTATTAATTTTTACAACAAAATCTGGCCCAAAAGCTTTGATTTTACATCACATGTAAATAATCAAGGTGCCACTTTCTGCTATAGCACTCAGCACTAAACACTCCTGGCCTATGTTTATATATTTTACTAAAATTCACAGGATCTGTTACCAGGTTTTCCTGTTGCTGGGCTCCACACAATGAGTAAAATTCATGTATAGTGTAATTGTTATAATAAATATATACAAACATATGAACCAGGGGTAGCCACTGAGACGTGGTGATGTCCGATATCATGTAACTATTGTAGAAAGTGGGCAAATTAAGGTTCTGATATATTTTAACAAATGGCTATAAATTATGCAATATGAATGAACTTACTTTCGTTAACAGACCACTCAAAATTTGATTTTTCTGGTCTGCATAAAAGGCAAGGACTAGTTGGATTTGGATCCCCTGCGCCATAACAAAGCCCATCAATATTGCATGTTTTTTCCTGAGGGGAAAAAAAAAGTTATAATTGAATTTCAAAGACATATGTGAAAAAATGAGGCTGCGATAAGCCAATCTGAATAACGGATACGTAAAAAAATATACCACGAAGTTGGGTACATATATTACCGACTGCAACAGATACTCACTTGCTTGGGACACCTCCCACCTGCACTCTTAGCAATAGCTGTGCCATCTACTTTCATCTTCCATAATACCTGCCTCCCTTATTGCATGAGGAAACCAATCCACAGTAGGACAGAAACAGTAAAGACAGGTGGTGTGCTGCCTGTCACTTGGCTCCTCATCCCTTTTGAGCAGAGGGTCCTGACTCTGACCGCTTTGAGAAGGCCCTGGACTGGCGTCAGAGCTTGCATTTACTGTTCTGGGCATCCCGAAACAAAGGCTGTCCCACTTAACTGGGCTGAGGACTGCTGACGACCTCAAGAGCTTCTTGGCTTGTGTCTGCCCTAAATGGCTCAGCAGGACAACAGTGATATGAGATAAAAACTGAAAGAACTGCGGCTGCTGTAGATCAGGAACAAAGACAGAAATTGCTGGAAAAGCTCAGCAGGTCTGGCAGCATCTGTGAAGGAAAAAATCAGAGTTAACGTTTCGGGTCTGATGACCCTTCCTCAGAACAGTTCCGAGGAAGGGTCACCGGACCCGAAACGTTATCCAATTTTTCCTTCACAGATGCTGCCGGACCTGCTCAGCTTTTCCAACAACTTCTGTTTTTGTTCCTGAATAGTGATATGAGCCTGGTATCTCTCCCTGGTGGGGGAAATGTGCAAATAAACAAAGCAAAGGCAAGGCAGGGAAGTTCTGAGCGTTCAGTTAGTTTCAGACTGAGTGAGCTCTAAGAGAGTCAGTGAAGAGCCCAGAGATGCAGTCTGGACCAATCCAGGAGCTGGGTACCTGCCCCCGTACATACAGTGTCCTTAATGCAGCATTACAAAGATAATTTCCAATGCAGCAGTGTAAGGTGGGTTAGAGATGTGTCATGTGGGTTCACAGAGGCTGACCTATGTCAGATGCCAACATCTTTGGATGTGTGTCACATATGGTTGGTGCCCATGAACCATCTTCAAGATGTTCGTACCTGGTGTCCAACGTGGAGGTCTTTTAGAGCAATCCTCCAGTTGAATCTGCCCAGAACCCACTTGGGTTTCCATGTTGAGTTTTCTTAACATTTAGTTTGTTTGATGGGTTTGATAAAATTGCAACCTGTGCGGAGGTGAGCTGTTAACAAGGCACTTGTGCAATAATGAGCATCAACTGGGGATCATGGCTGCCTAGTAAGAATCCTGACATGCTGCTTATGAAAAGCATAAATGATGTAGGGATACTGCCACTACATTTAGATTTGGAGGCATGGGCTCAATCCCACCTGCTCCAGAAGTGTGCAATAATATCTCCGAACAGATTAATTAGAAAGTATCTACAAGATGACCTCAATGTTGAGGTGGGTCTCGCAGAACGCCTTGTCCGATTTTGTCACATGTATCACCATAACCCATGTTACTCTCACAAATTTCTGCCCTATGCCCTGATACAATTCCATGAGCCAGGTGATTAAGCAAATAACTGCAGCCTTGATTTTATATATTTTTTTTAAAACTTGCAGAGATATATTATCTATCATCCATGACAAATAAACACATAATTAGGTGCAGGAGGATGTCCTTCAGCCTCTTGAGCCAGTTCTACCATTCCTCCAATTTCAACAGCTAGTTTCAGAATTTTCCTACATATAGTTACAGTGGATCGCAGTTAATGCCTTCCATGAACAATTTGACAGCCAATTAGAATGCAATTAACACTGAGGACTGTAAAGCTTGCCTTGCCTCTATAATTATACTGAAGGTATGATGGGTCATTAAGTATGTTCAGAAATGACCAATTTTTTCACTCGAAAAACACTATTTAGAATACTTAAAAGCAAGTCAAAAATTCTGAAATGCTGGTGTTAATTCTGCTCTAACAACAATTAAATTTTATTTGCATGTTTTATTAATGGGAGGGTATAATATCTTACATCTGTAATTGCCACGATTCCCCTTTGGGTGGTGATGTAAGTTGGTAATTTGAATTATTCAGAAGTATTGCCAAAGATTAATTTCTTTGTTCAAATTTAAGATATATCAATTTGACTTTTGGATTATTCCATTCCAATTTATATTCATGATTAAATGGTGAACAGATTAGAAAAGAAAACATCAGAACTTGCCTTAACCAGGTATGTTGTAATATGCGTATTACTGTCCCTTGTCCTAATCAATATCCTGGGGAGGCAATTTAAACAAAGTGATAACAATCTAAGAAAAGCTCTGCAAATGTAAGCAAAGTGCCAAGAAACTACAAGAGCTTCCTCACAATGCCACTTAAACATCTTACGCCTATAGCTTATAATGCCCCTTCACACAGCAGCCAGTTAACTTGTTAAGGAGTACAGTGAATCTATATCACCATGTGTTCAGGATGTTAGTTCTGAATGGGGCCTTGTGAAAAACTACATCCGAACATATACCTGACTCTTCGTTTTTATTTCATATTGTGATGACATCATTTCTGGAAGTTGGATTGTTTTAAAAAGAGAAGCCGATGGATGTGTGCTACTGCTGTGAGAAGTCATCTTCAAAAATTATCAAGTTATCATGGAACAGTGAGCTAAATACAGAATTGCTCAGAATACATTGTGACTGCAGATCCCTGCTATGTTCATGTAAAGATGTTTACATTTTTGAGTTTAAGACAGAAAGGGTAACCATATTTAAAGGCCTTTAGCTTTGTTTTCAGTTCAGATCTGAAAATATCTGAGTTGAACTCAGAAGCAAGTTTCTCTTCTAATGAGAAAGAGTTTTTCAGTTCAGCTCAATGAATGCCAGTTGGCCCAGCAGAATTGTTTCCTTTGTGAAATGTCGAGGCTAAGAGAGTTGGGCTAGAAATTTGCAAGTTATTGGAAGTGACAAAGTTTAGGCTCTCCGATTTGTGAAGAGTTCATGTCAGTAGACTCGAATGTCGCCACAATCCACAGGAAAGAACATGGAAGTAGTTAGTTAAGAGTAAACTGAAGAATTGAGGTAGGGCTGTAATTTTGCTGGGACTCGAGTTTTGTAACAGATGGTGTTGGGAAACAGGGCATAACTCTGCTTTGATATCTGTGTTAGGATCATTTTAATTTCATGTAGCTTGGTTTATTTTCTGTCTTTTGTATAATAAACCTACATTCTGCTGTTAAAACCATCTACAGCATCATGTGAATATATTTTATGTTTTAACCACCATGTTAACCAAAACCAAAATACGATCTATCAAACCAGGTTTCATTCAGGGTTCTGACTTGTCCAGTAGTACCATTGGCTGGGATCATAACATGTATTTCGGTTAATGTCACTATCTCTATGTTATTCATCTATGCACTTTGGTTTGTCTATGCACTATTTATCTTAAAACTTCAAATCACAGCCCAATTTTGTATGGAGTCATGACAAATTAGGGGAGCACGGTGGCTCAGTGGTTAGCACTGCTGCCTCGCAGCGCCAGGGTCCCAGGTTCAATTCCACCCTCGGGTGACTGTCCTGTGTGGAGTTTGCGCATTCTCCCCGTGTCTGCGTGGGTTTCCTCCCACAGTCCAAAGATTTGCAGATTAGGGTGGATTAGCCTTGCTAAATTGTCCCGTAGTGTCCAGGGATATGCAGGTTAGGTGGGTTATAAGGGAATGGTTCTAGGTGGGATGTCTGAAGGTCAGTGTGGACTTGCTGGGCTGAAGGGCCTGTTTCCACACTGTAGGGATTCTATGAAATCAGGAAGCCTTTAGAATGATGAGCATGATCTGATTCTGGGATTCAAATGCTCACTGCTATTTTCAGCAATTTTGCCACTCTAACAATAAGGTTATGGATGATGGCCACACACGTTGGTCTCCGGCCCTTGTTGGTTTAATTGCAGGAGGGGGTGACTATTTCAACCACCTTCCCCCCTCAAATTTTGATGGAGCCAAGACAGTGCTATTAATAATATTTCACAGTTTCTTAGGAGTTGGGAATCCCAAAGAAATACTGGTCTTGACTCGAGAAGAAAGAAAAAGAAACAGCAAATTAAGATTCCTATTGAAATATATTGCATCTCCTACTTTCTCATATAGCTGCAAGCAGAAAATAGGAGAACGATTAGACCATTCGCCCCTTTAAGCCTGCTCTGTCAATATTATTAACACCGATCAACCAACTCAATATCCTACCCCTGCTTTTCCTTTAGCCCCAAGTGCTATGTACAACTCATTCTTGAAATCAAACAATGTTTTAGACTCCACTGCTTTCACTAGTAAGAAATTCCACAGACCCACCACTTTCTGGGCAAAGATATTTCTCCTCATCAGAGTGCTGAATGGTTTATTCGAATTAATACACTGTAACCGCTGGTTTCCAAACATCTTTCCTCAGATAAGACGACCAAAACTGCACACAATACTTTGGGTGTGGTCTCACTAAGGCCCTTGCACCGGGGCAAGTTGCAGGATGACATCCCTACTGCTGTATTTGAATCTTCTCTCAATGAAGGCTAACGTGCCCCTTTGCCTTATTGACTGCCTGCTAGACCTGCATGCTTTAGCAAATAGTGTTCAAGGGCACCCAGGTCTCATTACACATTCTCCTCTCTCAATTTATAGCAATTCAGATAACAATCTGCCTTCCTGTTGTTGCTAACGAATAATCTCACGTTATGCTATATCTACCATGCATCTGTGCACTCAGTCAGATTGTCCAAATCACATTGAAGAATCTCTGCATCATCCTCACAACTCAATCTCCCTCCCAGCTTTGGATCACCTGCAAGGCTTAATATATATTGTGAACAGCTTAGGATCTAGCACTGCTCCTTGCAGTACCCACTGGTCAGTGCCTGCCCTTTGGAAAATGACCCGTTTCTTCTTAATTCATTCACAGGATGTGGGCATCACTGGATAGGCCAGCATTTATGCCCATCCCTAATTGCCCAGAGGACAGTTAAGTGTCAATCACATTGCTGTAGAACAGACTAGGTAAGGATAGCATTTTCCTTCCCGCAAGGACATTAGTGAACCAGATGGGTTTTGTCTGACAATCAACAACAGATTCATGGTCATCAGACTCTTAACTCCAGATTTTTATTGAATTCAATATCTACCATCTGCCATGGTGGGATTTGAACCTGGGTCTCTGGGATTACCAGTCCTGTGATAATACCACTAGGTTTTCTCCTCCCCTCTTTGCCTCCTGTCTGCTAACAGTTTTGTATCCATGTCAATACACTATCTCCCAATCCCTCACACTTTAATTTTACACACTACCTTCTTATGTGCGACTTTATCAAAAGCCTTCTGAAGGTCCAAGTAAACCGCATTCACTAACTCCATCTTATCAACTCTACTTGTTACAGTCTCAAAGAATTTCAGTAGAACATCAAGCATGATTTCCCTTTTGTAATTCTATGCTGACTCTGTATGATTCTGCCACTGTTTGCTAAACAATTCAGCCATTAATTCATTTCTAATGGACTCTAGCGTTTTCCCTAATTCCTGATTTTCTTTCTGCCTCCCTTCTTAAAAACAGGGGTTACATTAGCAAATCCTAACCCTAACCTCTATTCTGTAGGAATCATCCAGAGTCTGAATCTTGAAAGGTAACTACTAAATCATCCCCTATTCTAGGGCCACTTCAGGTTATTACAGGATAATATTTATGTCAATCACAAAGCTTATACTTCCCTACGCAGCTGCATAGAGATTGTCTGAAGGGAGCAAAATGCATTAGCCATTTGTTGTTCAGCAAAGCATAAGACATTAAGCAAGTGTATCTACAGGATAGATGGCCAGATATCCTTTCAGCCTCATTACAGATACTCGGCTGAGCCCCAAGACAGACGTGGTTGCACAGGTGGAGGAGGGAAGGGGGCTTACAAATTCTAGGGTGCATGGGAGCCTTAGGAGAAATAAAGGCGGAGGGAGATATCAGAGTTGAGTGACTGAGACTCTGACAATTGAGGTTGTAAATGTGTCAACGTGCAGTAAACACGTGGATCTTCTAGACTGTCATTCTTGCAATCTGCCCATCTCCATTTCTGCCTTGAGGCAGCCCTATCTTCACACATTCCTGTCTATCTGAAACTAAAGTATGATGGACAGGGGCATTCTTAACAGTAGAGATTTTCAGAGTGGGAACTTTCCAGACTCTCCATCTTTGGGTTCTTGTCCACAAATTCTTGAAGGTGGCAGGGCAGGTTAATAAGGTACTTAAGGCAGATGGGACACTTCCTCTTATCAGTTGAGGCATAGATTATAAGAGCAGAGAGGTTATTTGGATCTGTACAGGCTGTTTTTTAGGCCACAGGTTTGTGCAGTCCTGGTCAGAAAGGATATGATTGCACTGGAGGTGGTGCAGAGGAGGTTCACCAGGACATGCCTAGGTTGGAGCATTTTAGCCATGAGGAGAGGTTGGATAAGTTGAAGCTGTTTTATTTGATGCAGAGAAGATTGAGAAGGGAGCTGATTGAGGTGTATAAAATTATGATGGGCATGGACAGGGTGGATAAAACATAGTTATTTCCCTTAGTTGAAGGGGAAATGACAAGCGGGCCTAATTTTAAGCTGAAAGACAGGACGTTTAGAAGGGATTTGAAGAAAACGATTTCCAACCAGAAGATGATGGGGGTCTGGAATGCACTACCTGGGAAGGTAGTTGAGATGGGAAACCTTAATTTAAAAAATACTAGGATGAGCGCTTGAAATGTCATAACATTCAAGACTATGGGGCTCATGTTGGAAAGCGGGATTAGTGTAGATTCAGGGTAGCTTTGGTACAGACTCAATGGGCCATAGGGCCTCATTTGTACTGTATGATTTTATGATTCTCATTTTCTTCACAAAAATCTGGTGCCATGTCGTAATCTTATCAGCCTTTTGCATAATATTGCTATTTCTTAGATCCTTTCTTCATAACTAAGAGTCTCATCTTTATATTTTCTTAATCGTCATGGTTTACAATCTGGTAACTTCATCAAGTGTTGTGACCAAAACTAGATGCAGCACTACAAATATACCTACATAACATTCTTTTATGCAATAGGTATTTCAAAATACTTTAGTGTACTTGGAATAATCCAACACGCAGGAAGAGAAAGGTACACTTTATTCTGGAGTTGTGTGTCTAATTTCTTCTGGGCATTGTTTGATGGAATGCGGTGGTTCTGCTGAATATTATAGTGTTGCACTGATCTCAAAGGAGTAAACATAATGTGCAGAATAGCGTTCTCAGTGTGAAATCTGGGGCATCGGCTGGCTTCTGATGATAACTCGAGGAGGGAGCCTCAGATGTGCTCACAGTCAATAGCACTGATGGTGTGATTTTTAAAGCAAAATCATAACAACTGACCTTTCCCTCTCCCGATGCCAACTCAGAAATTGCTAGATGTATTAAATTCAACTTCACAATGTTTCACGGTGGGATTTGAACTCACAAATAACAAATACCCAGCTGTGTTCGAAAGATTGGCAACAGTTAACGCAAAGGTTGATCACTACCAGCTTGTGTTATAATCAATCATAGAATCTTCAACCTCTTACTTTTGTGTAAAATAATGTATTTTTTAGGAGAGTAGCACAGTTTCTGATCTTACCTTTAAACTGCAGAGTCCATCAGAGTTTGGTTCACATGTTTGACAAGCTCCATCAAACAGTGTTAAATCCTGAGAATTGCTGTATGTGTAACCATCATTTGAAATCTGTCAGAAAAAACAAAATTATATTCCTGTGGAATACAGGCAAAATACATTATTTCTATACATAAATAATTTTATAATTTTACATCGTAGACTATTCTATTTTTCGTCTGTGTCTACATGTTGTGATCATGAATTTATGGAATTAACCTGGTAGACAATATTTTATCTTTTATTTGTCCAAGAGATGAAGACATTGCTGGTGAAGCTAACCTTGAATGCCCATTCCTAATTGCCCTCAAGAGGTGGCGAGTCATCTTCTTAAATAACTTCAGCTCATATTGTCAGGTACACAGCGCTGTCAGGAATGGAGCTCCATGAATTTGACCTAGCGACTGAAGGAATGTGAGAGGGTTTCAGGTCAGGATGAAGTGTGGCTTAGAGAAGGCCTTGCAAATGTTGATGCTCTCAGAAAGGCAAGGACAGCAGATGCATAAGCGGTAGAAGCTGGAGATTTAGAAGGGTCTGTTGAAGATCTTGGAAAGATGCTGCAATGCATCTTGCAGATGGTACATGCTCTTGCCACTGTACATTGTTAGTGGAGGGAGTGAATGTTTAAGTCAAATGCAGAGACCTGGGGGTTCAGGTGCACAGATCTTTAATATGTAACAAACATATGCATAAAATTATCAAGAATGCTAATGCAATGCTGGCCTTAAAATCTGGAGTATAAGGATTCATAAGTTATACTGTAACTGGTTACCCACTTGAAGTACCATGAGCAGATATGGGCACTACATCTGAGAAAGGGTATATTGGCCTTGGAGAGAATACAATTTAGGTTTACAAGGCTGATACCTGGACTGCAGGGGTTAAGTTATTTGGAGAAATTATGCAAATTAGGCCTGATTTCTCTAAAGCTCAGAAGGTTAAGGGTTGATCTGAACAAAGTCTTCAAGATAATAACAGGAAAAGACTGGGTATATAAACTATTTCTATTGATTGAGGATTCTAGAACTCAAAGCTATAGGCTGAGAATTAGGACCAGATCTTTCAGGAGAGATGGTAGGAAGTACATCTACATGCAAAGGTGGAGGTTTTGGAACTTGTAATAACTCAGGAAGCCCGAATGAAAAGGAACATAATTTGTTGTTGTAGATCAAAACAGAGCCACAACCAGTGGTATACGTAGGCTATTCCAAGACCAGACAGACAGTTCTGCAGTCCATCACTAGGTCTGTTTGATCTGTAAATATATTTTCTAATCAACCTGTTCAGAGATGTTATTATACACCTCTGGATTCCAGGTGGGACTCAAAGCCAGGCCTCCTGGCTCAGAGGTAGGGACACTACTACTGTACCACAAGAGCCCTTTAGGCATGCTTTATAGTTTTCTTTAATATCAAAAGGCCTATCACACACAACCAAATGGTTTTCCTCCCCATCACCAAGACATTTTTTTTATTTTTAACTACTAATCGTCACCAGTAAATCAGCCATGTTGCCAATTACATATTTACACGCAAAGCCCGTTATGGGCAATGCAGATCAAAGGTGATGGAGAGGTAGGTAGAGAGTGAGGAGGACTAGATCTGCATTTTCATCTTGGAGGGCCGAAGGGCCTGTTCCTGTGCTGAATTATTCTTTTAATATATCCAAAAGAGCTCTTACACGCAATTAAATTTTTTTCTCTATCACCAAATCACCATGATTTTTTTGTTTTTAGGCATTAACCACCACCATTAAATCACTGGTGTTGCTAATTGGGTATTTACATGCAAAGCCAGTTACAGGAAACACAAACCATCAAAGCTGAGGGAATGGGAGGGAGAGCGGGAAGGGACTAAATGAAAATAGGAGTTGGAAGGGGAAGTAAAGCATTGTATTCCCCGTGGTACCCACCTCTCCTCAAAGGCATTGAGAACACTGATGGACACCATGTGCTTGGTCTGCTTTATTCTTTTTCCTCTTGTTTTAATTATCTGGATATGCTCTTATATACAAATGAATGGTTTTCCACCAAATCACTGTGCCTATTTTTCAAAATTACTAACCACCACCGGTACAGCTAACTTGATATTTACAAGCAAAGCCTGTTACAGGCATTGCAAACTACCAAATGTGAGTGAAGGGTAGAGAGGGCAAGAAGGGGCAGGTCTGCTTTATAAATGATTTGCTTTTTTTTAAAAATTGAACCTGTTTTTCTAATCAACTGATTCAGAAATATTATTACCCACCTCTGGAGCAGGTAAGACTTGAACCAAGGGACACTGCCACAAGAACCCTCAGGTTTGCTTTACTTTTTTTTCTCAAAGTGATTACATTGTTACTATTGGGCCAAACTTAATTCCAGACTTTTTTTAAAATGAATACAAATTTCACCATCTGCCATGGTGGGATTCAAGCTCCGGTCTCCAGGACATCAACCTGGGATACTGGGTTACCAGTCCAGTGACTTACCACCACGACAAGAACTCCAACCCTCCCAGGTCTGCTTTGTTTTATTTTCTTTTTTCCATACTCAGAAGTGCTATCACACACAATAGAATAACCTTCCCATCACCAACATCACCATGACTCTTTGTTTTCATTTTTAAACATGAACCACCAACAGACCTGCTTTTTATTCATCCGCAGAACTGCTGTCACACAACTGAGCAACTTTCCCACCACCAAATCACTATAACTATTTTTTGTTTTTTTTTAAAAGAAGCTACTACCCACCACTAATTAATCACCACTGCAGCCATTTATAGGCCTGCAGTATGAAGGACTCAGGTGATGAGCTCCAACAGGCTGTCACCAAGGGAACTTGTACTCAATGGTCTCCATAGGGAGATTAATGAGTGATACTCCATGGGCATTAAAGGAATTATCACTAAAGGTAATGGGAGATTTTAATTTTCCCAACATTGACTGCGATTCACTTAGAGTTAGGGGTTTAGATGGAGCAGAATTTGTAAGGAGCATCCAGGAGGGTTTTCTAGAGCAGCATGTAAATAGTCCAACTCGGGAAGGGGCCATACTGGACCTGGTGTTGGGGAATGAGTCCGGCTAGGTGGTTGATTTTCAGTAGGGGATTACTTTGGAAATAGTGATCACAATTCCGTAAGTTTTAGAATACTCATGGACAAATACGAGAGTAGTCCTAAAGGAAGAGTGCTGAATTGGGAGAAGGCCAACTATAGCAAAATTCAGCAGGAGCTGGGGAATGTGGATTGGGAGCAGCTGTTTGAGGGTAAATCCACATTTGATATGTGGGAGGCTTTTAAAGAGAGGTTGATTAGAGTGCAGGACAGACATGTCCCTGTGAAAATGAGGGATAGAAAGGGCAAGATTAGGGAACCATGGATGACAGGTGAAATTGTGAGACTAGTAAAGAGGAAAAAGGAAGCATACATAAGGTCTAGGCAACTGAAAACAGACAAAGCTTTGGAAGAATATCGGGAAAGTAGGACCAATCTGAAATGAGGAATTAAGAGGGCTAAAAGGGGTCATAAAATATCTTTAGCAAACAGGGTTAAGGAAAATCCCAAAGCCTTTTATTCATATATAAGGAGCAAGAGGGTAACTAGAGAAAGGGTTGGCCCACTCAAGGACAAGAGGAGGGAAGTTATGCGAGGAGTCAGAGAAAATGAGTGAGATTCTTAATGAGTACTTTGCGTCAGTATTCACTGAGGAGAGGGATGTTGAGGCTAGCGGTAGATGATTACTCTAGGTCAACTCAGCATAAAGAGGCGGGGGGGGGGGGGAGTATTGGGTATTCTAAAAGGCATGAGGGTGGACAAGTCCCCAGGTCTGGATGGGATCTATCCCAGGTTACTGAGGGAAGCGAGAGAGGAAATAGCTGGGGCCTTAACAGATACCTTTGCAGCATCCTTGAGCACGGGTGAGGTCCTGGAGGACTGGAGAATTGCTAATGTTGTCCCCTTGTTTAAAAAGGGTAGCAAGGATAATCCAGGTAATTATAGACCGGTGAGCCTGATGTCAGTGGTGGGGAAGCTGCTGGAGAAGATACTGAGGGATAGGATCTATTTACATTTGGAAGAAAATGGGCTTATTAGTGATAGGCAGCATGGTTTTGTGCAGGGAAGGTCATGTCTTACCAACTTGATAGAATTCTTTGAGGAAGTGAAAAAGTTGATAGATGAGGGAAGGGCTGTAGATGTCATCTACATGGACTTCAGTAAGGCATTTGATAAGGTTCCCCATGGTAGGCTGATGGAGAAAGTGAAGTTGCATGGGGTCCAGGGTGTACTAACTAGATGGATAGAGAACTGGCTAGGCAAAAAAAGACAGAGTTGTAGTGGAAGGGAATTTCTCAAAATGGAGAACTGTGACCAGAGGTGTTCCATAGGGATCCGTGCTGGGACCACTGTTGTTTATGATATACATAAATGATCTGGAGGAAGGTATAGATGGTCTGATTAGCAAGTTTGCAGATGACACTAAGATCGGTGGAGTAGCAGATAGTGAAGGGGACTGTCGGAGAATGTAGCAGAATATAGATTGATTGGAGAGATGGGCGGAGAAATGGCAGATGGAGTTCAATCCAGGCAAATGCGTGGTGATGCATTTTGGAAGATCCAATTCAACAGCGAACTATGTTGTAAATGGAAAAGCCTTGGGGAAAACTAATGCACAGAGAGATCTGGGTGTTCAGGTCCATTGTACCCTGAAGGTGGCAATGCAGGTCGACAGAGTGGTCAAGAAGGCATACAGCATGCTTTCATTCATCGGACGGGGTACTGAGTGCAAGAGTTGGCAGGTCATGTTACAGTTGTATAGGACTTTGGTTCGACCACATTTGGAATACTGCGTACAGTTCTGGTCGCCACATTACCAAAAGGATGTGGATGCTTTGGAGAGGATGCAGAGGAGGTTCACCAGGATGTTGCCTAGTATGGAGGGCGCTAGCTATGAAGAGAGGTTGAGTCGATTAGGATTATTTACATTAGAAAGACGGAGGTTGAGGGGGGACCTGATTGAGGTCTACAAAATCATGAGGTATAGACAGGGTGGATAGCAAGAAGCTTTTTCCCAGAGTGGGGGATTCAATTACT